ATTTCTTTCCTTCTCATGAGGAAATAATGTTCCATTGTATACACACATGTAGATATATCTGTTTCTATATTTTCTCCACTCATTGATGGGTACTTAGTTTCATTCCCTAGCTTGGCGATAGTGAATACTGCTGCAATAAACATGGGAGCACATATATCTCTTGGGTATCCTGTTTCCATTTCCTTTGAATACATACCCAGAAGTAAAATTGCTGAATCCTACGGTTGATCTATATTTTTAATTTTTTGAGGAACCCCCATACTGTTTTGCATAGTGGCCATGCCAATTTACATTCCCACCAGCAGTGCACTAGGGTTCCCTTATCTCCACATCCTCGCCAATACTACTTACCTCCAACAGGTGTGAGGTGATATCTCATCGTGGTTTTGATTTGCATTTCCCTGAGGATTAGTGACGTTGAACATTTTTTCATATGTCTATTGGCCCTTTGGAAGTCTTCCTTGGAAAAATATTTAGTTCCTCTGCCCACTTGTAATTATATTGTTACTGATTATTATTATTATTTTGTTATGGAGTTGTAAGATTTCTTTATATATTTTGGGTACTAACCCTGTATCCAATATACATTTTGCAAATTTATTTTCCTATTCTGTAGGATTTCCCTGTAGCTGCAGCATCCCACACAGCAGGGGAAGCCCAGCATTCACTCACTGCTCTGATCACCCTTTCTATCTAGATTCACCTAGGGAGAGGGATGGCATTGAAAAAGTTTGTCCCACCTTCTCAAATGCATCTTTATTTTTAAAATTTGCCATAAAGGGTTAAGATGCAGATTTTATTTTTAAATATATGCAGCCTATCATTTAGTTGTCCTTTCCTCTTTTCTGTAACATGTTCAATTATTTATCTCTTGAGGTGTTACCAAACATCATTCTCACTTTCTTTCTTCTAACTTATAATAGATATGACACGTGTCCTCCTCATTCTAGACCCCAGGTATCTTTTTGTAAATGAATGAATGAGGAAATGACTACACGAAGCGAAGTTGAAGTATTAACTCAACTTTGCAGCCCTTTCCAGGTCTGGTTCCTTCTTTTCTTCTTTCTTTTTTTCTTTAATCCTCACCCAAGGATATTTTTTTTCATTGATTTTTAGAGAGAGTGGAAGGAAGGGAGGGTGAGGGGAGAGAAACACTAATGTGAGAGAGACACATTGATTGGTTACCTCAGGCACATGCCCCAGCCAGAGCCAGAGATCGAACCTGTAACTCAGTTACATGTCCTTGACGTGGAGTTGAATCAATGACCATTCAGTACACAGGCTGATGCTCTAACCAATTAGCCACACCAACCAGGGCTAGTCTCCAAGTATCTTGAATTTGCACTTCTGGTTTTCCTATGTTGCATTCTGGGAATTTCCTCAATATTGTACTCCACTTTCATAAATGTCTCTTCAGCTGTGTCTTCTCCTCAATGAGATGAATTTTTAAAATGTATTTATTGTTCACCTCTAAAATTCCTAAACCAACTCAATAATTTTCTATTCTTCTGTAACATAATCCATCCCCTCACCTGAAAAACTGAACACCCTCCTCTATTTTTTTTTAGATATTTATGTATGTTTAATTTTAAGTTTCTCTCATATTTCCTATTCATTCTATTTCTGTGCTGTCTGTAGCACTATTGTCATTGTTAGGATTACCCTATGATCCATTGTTATTGGAAATCTCTCCCCTCACACAACTGATCTTCCATAGGTTTCTTCCAGGGTTGTCATGGGAGTCAGCTGATGGTGTGGGGGTTGGGATAACTGCAGCTTTTCCTGCTCCTTGATGTCCATTCTTTCAGACCTGGCATCTGCTCAGGGTTCTGTTAGGCAGGGATGAGTAATGCTGACCTCATGCTCACATATGGGACACACACTCATGTCACACAAAAACTGCAAGGAATTTGTTTCTCACATGCAAGGGGGAGGTGACTCAGTGTTGACAGTGGGGGGTGGGTGTCAATGAGTAGAGCTAGTCCAGTGCCCACCCACAAACACAAGGTAGGGGGCACCACAGCTTCCAACTTTCACCAGAAGTCCTAACCCCTTTTCCTATAAAAACCTGGGTCCCTTTTTGTGTCCACGTGAGTGGAAACCTCCAATCAATGACCTCTTGATGGTCTCAGCCACTGGCTGCTACGCAGCTTTACTCTCTGTTCTTTCTTGTGGTTTCCTGTCTACTGGGGGCAATTTCATTTCTGTTTTTCTACAAATGACTATTTCGACATATTTTAGAAATGTCGTAAGTAGCATTTACTGGTATGCAAAGCAGACAAGGATTCTGGAGTGGATGTAAGAGACATTTATCTTCACGGTGGAGTCTGACAACATGACCCTTTCATGTCTTTACCTGGCCTGAAAGTTAACAGTGATTGATTGGTTTCCTTTCATGAACCAAAAACTAGGATGTCTGCAGCCACACGACAACATGACCCAAACAAAGACACAGACAATGAAATATATAGGGTGTTATTGTCTAGGTCACAGAGGCACCAGATAAGAGATGAATATGTTCATAAAGGCCATCTTTTTCTTAAAAAGTGAAACTCCAACCCAAATAGAAGTCCCCTGGAGCTTACATGCAAGACCACAAAATGAGGAAGAGACTCTGCCAGAGAAACAAGGGCACTGGGAGCAATGAGTCAGGCTTCTTCTTCAAGAAGGCAAGGTGGCTGCTGTTGCCAAAAAAGATGAAGTCTGTGAAAAGTACAGTGATACAAAGAAAGTCCACACTCTGGACCCAGGAGGAAAGTCATGTTTCCTTCTGTTACTTTCTTGTATTTCTCCTCTGTGCTCATTGTCACAGTAACACTTGCCCTGAACCGCACAGCTAGATGGTAAATGTGTTTCTGCTGATCTGAGCTCTGCAGGGCACAGGAACCCATGTCTTCCTGAAGCATCTCGAGGGCCTGGGTGACACTGTCCATGGTGAGGACCCCACAGGGAGGTGCTGATGGATGGACTGAGGGTCAAGGAGACCCCATGAAGGAGGCTCTGACAGGGAAGGATGTGCCCTAGGTCACCTCACTTGCAAAGGGGCATCTCAGGAAACGTCCTGGTCTATTTCCTGATGCATCATCGAAACAACAACCAAGCTTTTGGGAGAACAGTCTCCCTTCCTGTGGGGCTGTTGACGTGACAACTGGGAGGGCCTGCCTCTAAGTGGCCACACCCTGTGCATGTGTACTGAGGGCACCATGCTCTCCGTCTGCACAGCCAGACCAGAGTGAGGAGACAACATGATCCCCACCCTCGTGGCTCTGCTCTGCCTTGGTGAGATTCTGACAGGGAGGGAGACGTGGAATGGAGGGACCCTGCCCCCACATCCAGGTCCTGGTCTCTCAGGACCCAGGACTCAGGAAGCTCTTAGGCAGGAGGGTTCGGCCCAGGATTCAGGAGCAAATCTCTCACAGGAAACTCTTTTTCAGGGCTGAGCGTGGGCCTGAGGATCCGAGTGCAGGCAGGTGAGTCTGTCCCCAGGTGTCTCGGGTCCCACGCCTCACTGGGGACAAGGGACCATTCCCTGGGAAGTTGGGGAAGGGAAATAGCAGTTCCAGGCTGGGGGATTAAGGTTATCTGAAATTTTCGGGACTGAGAACTGGGAACTAGGGGTAGGGAATGTCTTCTGACTCACCCCCTGATTTCCTTCCAGGGACCCTCCTCAAACCCACTGTCTGGGCTGAGCCAGTCCCTGTGATCCCCTGGGGGAGTCCTGTGACCATCTGGTGTCAGGGGACTCTAGGGGCTGAGGAATATCGTCTGGATAAAGAGGGAAGCTCAGAGCCCTGGTTGAAACAGAAGACACTGGAGTCCGGGGACAAGATCAAGTTCTCCATTACAAGGATGAGAGAACACATTGCAGGGAAATATTACTGTTACTATCTCAGCCCCTCTGGCCTGTCAGAGCACAGTGACCCCCTGGAGCTGGTGGTGACAGGTGAGGGGACACTCAGGGTCCCAGCCTCAGGCTCTGCCCTCAGGAAGGGGCTGCTCTCAGGGCCTCTGCCCTCTCACAGCCCAGCCCTGGGGGACACGAGGGAGGTGTGAACTCATTTCACATGCTGTCTCCTCCCCTCCTAGGAGTCTACAGCAAACCCAGCCTCTCAGCCCTGCCCAGCCCTGTCGTGACCTCAGGAGGGAATGTGACCCTCCAGTGTGGCTCAGGGCAGGCATTTGGCAGGTTCATCCTGACTAAGGAAGGAGAACACAGGCTCTCCTGGACCCTGGACTCACAACGACACACCCCAGGGCAGTACCAGGCCCTGTTCCCTGTGGGCCCCGTGACCTCCAGCCACAGGTGGATGTTCAGATGCTATGGCTATTACAAGAACAGCCCCCAGGTGTGGTCACACCCCAGTGACCCCCTGGAGCTCCTGGTCCCAGGTGAGTCCATTATTGTCCCTTCTATCCATTGAGGTGCTGAACAGGTAGTTGGCATCTTTGATGGGAGGGGAGCCCCATGTGAGAGGTGGGGTCAGGGGAGCACAGGGGCCTCTGGGGCAGAGACACAGAGACAGTGAGACCTGGGCCTGGCCAGGAGAAGGGGTTATGGGAGGAGCAGCCCCTGTACTCATGTCTGGTCTCTCAGGTGTGTCTGGGAAGCCCTCCCTCCTGGCCCAGCAGGACCCCATCGTGGCCTCTGGACAGAGCCTGACCCTCCAGTGTCGCTCTGATGTCGGCTATGACAGATTCGCTCTGTCCAAGGAGGGGGGACAGGACCTCCCCCAGAGCCTTGTCCTGCAGCCCCAGGCTGGGCTCTCTCAGGCCCACTTCTCCCTGGACACTGTGCGCAGCTCCCACGGGGGCCGGTACAGATGCTACGGTGGACAAAAACTCTCCTCCGAGTGGTCATACCCCAGTGACTCCCTGGACATCCTGGTGGCAGGTGCAGAGACAGGGGTTCAGTCAGGGACCAGACTCTGCACAGGTCCTGCTGCGGGGTCGCAGGTGGTCATGGCCAGAATGAAAGTGCAGGGCCCAGGGAGGGAGAGTCGGAGAGACAGAGGGTGTGAGGGGAGACGGGAGACTCAGAGAGAACAGAGACAGACAGAGAGGAGGGTCCTAGGAGAGAGGCCTGGTGACTCTCAGGTCAGGACAAGGTGGGCAGGCAGCCCCTCACCCACCCTCCCTCTCTCTAGGTCGGCTCCCTGGGAGGCACTCCAGGGTCAGTCCCAGACTCTCACCCTCTTCTGTCCTCTTTCTCGGGACCCTCGGTTCCCCCAGCCCCCCACCCACAGGGCCCATCTCCACAGCTGCTGAGTCATGGAGCGTGTGTGCTCAGAGGAGCACAGACCACCCCGGATGCTTCTGATTCCCTCAGAGGGTCTCATGCCCCCGACACTAAGGACAGGCTGTGTCCCAGGGGCTGGGAGCAGGGGATGGATTGAGGGTGAACCCAGGGGCTCCAGGGCTCTGAGCTTCACCCCACAATGGATAGGCCTGCAGAGGGTTACGTGAGGCAAGTGACAGTTGGGGTGGTCATGGCCCAGGGAGACTTGGGGCCCGGGATGGGGGAGGAGAAACTGAGCTCAACTGGGGAGAAGGCAGCCCCCCTCCCATCACCCCTGCTGATCCCAGAGGCTCTGAGGATGGGTCCCTTCCCCACACGGAGTCAGGCCTGCAGCGGGGTAACTGAGGGCCTGTGGGGAGGTGGTGGGGGTATTCATGGGGGACAGGGGCTGAGTCATGAGGGGTTCATGCCCCTCTGGAGACACTGACTTGGATGCGCCCTTCCCTGTCTGGGCCACAGTGTCCCCAATTGTAAAAGGAGAGATTCATGGCCCAGAGCTAAGATTTCCTTTCAGTTCTGGTTCTGACCTCCTGGGGGAGGGGGCCTCACAGGGACACCCGGGACGTGGTGTGGGGACTGTCCCCTCTGTAGCAGTGATGGTGACATGTACAGGGAGGGGCAGGCAGGACAAGGGTCTGGGGCATCCAGGTCCTTTCCCTCAGCCCTGGTGAATGACTGTGTGAGGGGAGAGGGATGAATGACAGACCACAGCAGGTGCCTCACGTAGTGGGTGCTCATTAAAGGACACCATAGCTCATTCATGACATCATAAGGGAGAAAAGGGCTCCCCTGATATTTTGGATCTGATTCCTTTCCAGAAGTTGTCCCCAAACCCTCCCTCTGGGCTGAGCCAGGCCCCATGGTCACCATGGGGAGCCCTGTGACCATCTGGTGTCAGGCGTCTCTGCAGGCTACTGCCTACGTTCTATATAAAGGGAGGGGCTCTGAGCCCTGGGATACGAAGACCCCACAGAACTTCAGCAACAAGACCGGTTTCCTCATTGAATCCTCCAGCTCACAGCATGCAGGGCTCTATGAGTGTGCGTATTACACTACTGAGCGCAAACTCTCAGAGTACAGTGACCCCCTGCTTTTGGTCGTGACAGGTAAGTGGAACCTGGGTGCCCTCCCCACTGTGGCTCCCCTCACACTGAGGGAATGGAGGGTGGGCTCAGGGGGACCTCACCCCACAGTCCACACTGGGAACATGTGGGTGATGGTCCCTGTAACACGGATCCCCCTTCTCCCTCAGGAGTGTACAGAGCACCCTCCCTCTCAGCCCAGCCAAGCCCTGTGGTGGCCTCAGGAGGGAGCGTGTCCCTCGTGTGTAGCTCACAGGACACATCGGGCACTTTCCATCTGCTGAAGGAGGGAGGAGCTGACCCGCCCCGACACATGGAACCGCAATCGAGGTCCAGTGCTGGGAAGACCTATGCCCAGGCCACCTTCCCTGTGGGCCCCGTGAACTCCTCCCACGGGGGGACCTACAGATGCTATGGTTCATCCAGATCCTACACACATCGGTGGTCACACCCCAGTGACCCTCTGCGTCTCGAGGTCACAGGTGAGGGGCCAACCCCTGTGCAAACCCATCTGTTCCCTGGGCCCAAAATGACTGACCTAGGCTTGTGTTCAGTGGAGCCCTGGGGCCCTGGGGCATCCAGGTCCTTTCCCTCAGTCCTGGTGAATGACTGGCCTCTGGGGGACAGAACCTCAGGCGGGAGGCTTAGGGAGGGACAGGACAGGATTCTCCCTGCACCCCAGTGGGCAATGGGGTATGTGCCCCCTGATGCCACGTCCCCTTCTCCCAGATGTGCACAGGGAGCCCTCCCTCTCGGCCCAGCCGGGCTCCCTGGTGCTGCCTGGAGACAGCCTGACCCTGCAGTGTGGCTCGGAGGCTGGCTTTGACAGATTCGCTCTGACCAAGGACCAGGGGCTCACCCCCCCCCAGCGCCTTGATGAGCAGCACAGCCCCGACTTCCCCCTGGGCCATGTGGACCACACCCATGGGGGCCGGTACAGATGCTACAGTGGACACAGCCTCTCCTATGCCTGGTCAGCCCCCAGCGCCCCCCTGGACATCCTGGTCACAGGTGAGGAGCCCAGCCCTGGCCCTGTCCTGACTGTCCCGTCAGGGCGCTGGGAGCAGGGTCCCCTGGTGGTGCTGAGGTCCAGGAGAGGGTCCTGGGGCAGAGGCTGAGGAGGGGCAGAGGTGCAGAGGTAGGGAGGGAGGAAGGCGGAGTGAGGGGCTCAGACATAGAGACACCCACCCGGGGACACTGAGAGGAGCTGAGAAGGATCACAGACAGCGTCCCTGGGGAAGGACATGGTCCCTCAGCTCAGGGTCAAGGGCATGTGGGAGGGGGCAGCTCTCTACACATCACACCTTCCCCTCCCCAGGAATGTACAGGAAACCCTCCCTCTCCATCCTGCCGGGCCCCTCAGTGCCCTGGGGAGCGAACGTGACCCTGCAGTGTGGATCTGAGACCTGGTTTGACACCTTCCACCTGCACAGGGAGGGGTCTCTGGATCCCCCCCAGCACCTTCCTGTGCAGAACATGACTGCACCCTCTCAGGCCAACTTCATCTTCAGTCCTGTGACCTCAGCCCACAGGGGCACCTACAGGTGCTATGGTTCACGCAGTGCCTCCCCCTACCTGCCGTCACACCCCAGTGACCCCCTGGAGCTCCTGGGCTCAGGTGAGGACGCCCAGCCCTGCCCCTGTGTCCTCATGGTCAGTTCAGGACCCAGATCACAGGCCACCATGGGCTGGAATAGCAGTGAGGGGGTCACAGGAGGGTCAGCCAGAGAGGACCTCACCTCCCAGAGGGATGGAAAAGGCCAGAGCAACTCCCACCCCTGCCTCATCGTCACCCCCATCCCTGAGGCCCAGACATGTTCCTGGTGGGCAGAGGGAGGCTGGAGAGACTCGAACCGACCAAAAGGGGAAAAGGTCAGAGGCACCCACCCCGACCCTCTTCAGTCTCCAGTCCTGAGTCCACACCCTGAGAGACCAAGACAAGAGTGGGGACGAGCAGAGGCCTTGGGCCCAGAGAGGACAAGACCCCCTGCTGGGGCATGGCTGGTCTCCCAGGGAGTTGGGGCCTGGCAGACATACTGGGGACCCACAGGGCTCCAGGACTCTGAGGCTGGCAGGTGTCAGGTGGGGTGGCCATGCTGTGCTCCCATGCTGGGGAGGAGCTGCTGGGTGGAAATGGGGAGAGGTAAGAGCCCCCACAAATCAGCTCCCATCTGATCCCAGGAGGCTCTGAAAATTGATGCCCCTGAGTGAGGCCCAGGGAGGGCTCAGTGAGTGTCTGTGGGCAGGGGGTGGGGGAGGAGCTCAGTTTGGTCTTGGCTCAGCCACTTCCTGGTAATGGCCTGAGGACAGTTCCTTCTTCTCAGGAAACCCATGTCTCCAAAGATGCTTGGACACTGTGCGTGTGCCTGTGTGTGCGTGTGTGTACATGTGTGTGCACGCATATGTGTGTGCATGTCCGTCTGTGCTGGGGACACTGATGGGGTCTGAGCTCTCCTCCACGAGCCTACAAGGAACTGCAGTGGAGTCAGGAAAAGAAGCCACAATTCTGGTTCAAATCCCAGCTCTGCCCCTTCCCCACTGGGATCTCAGACAATCTGTTCCTCCTGAGTCCTAGGTTCATGTCTGTGGAGCAGGACTCCTGCCACCCCCCTCACAGTGCCCTCAACACGCAGCCTGACCCTGGTTACAGCTCAGGAAGGACACAGCCCTCCCCCTGCCCTTCCCAGACACACACACTCCATGTGCACACAGGCCCCACTGCGGTGGGAGGGGTGTCAGTCTGCAGAGTGGGAGGTGGGTGTGGGCTGGACTGGAGAGGGGTGGCTCACCCAGCACCCACCTCTACCTGCTGTCACACCCCAGAGACCCCTGCAGCTCCTGGTCCAGGTGAGGGGACCCTGACCCTGTCCTTTCTGTGCTCAGTCAGCTCAGAGCCCTGTCCGTAAGAAAGTCGGGGACACTAAGACATGAGTGTTGGAGGAGATTCCACAGAGGAGGGTCCAGCCCCTGAGTGGGCAGAAAGAGACAGGGTCTCCCACCCCGGAACCCCCATTTCTGAAGCTCAGCAGAGATAAAGGGTAGGGAGGGCCGGGTGAGGTGTGTGGAAATGAGCAGGAAGGTGATCAGACCGAGCAGAGAAGCCAAACCCCCCAACACTCACCTGCTCAGGTCTTCCTCTCAGAATCGGATGTGTACACACCTGACACACATTGCAAAGGCTTCCTGGTTTCACCCCTTTGGGTATTAACCCAACTGAAGACCGCTTATCATCCATGTGTGAGCCAATATTTGGATATTTTGCTTGGATATTTGCAATTAGGATAGGTCAATACTTCTTTTTATATCTTGATATTTGTATCAAAGTGAGATCACAGATTGACATAATTTACAACTTTTGGAGCTCGTTAAATATTTTAATTAGGGGAATTTGCTCTGTTACATAATATTTGAACCAGAGCTGTGGACTTCCTGGGTTATGACCTTTGATAAACAGTACGTTGGGGTTGTCTTTTGAGATAAAAACCACATAATTAGCCATCCATCCATAAAATCTTACCAGACTTTCTAAAGTTTGTCCAAAACTAGAGAGAAGAGGATGACCCTTTCCCCTGCTGGGCATCCTACTGAACTAACTCCATGAACCACGACCTCCGAGCTCCTCTTCCCTCTGCCCCTTCCCTACACCCACAGACAGGACCTCATTCCTTGTTCAAGGCCAGCCTTGACCATCAGGGTCCTGCCTCCTTATCACCTGTTGATTTCAACTCTCTGTCTGTCTGTCTCGCTCTCTCTCTCTCCATATGCGCACACACACACACACACACACACACACAATATATATATATATATGTACAGCAATATTATGTAGATATTCATTATAATGTATAATTTACTGTTTATGTAAGACTAGCTATATGTGTAGCTACATATACAGAAATACTTTACATATTTTATACTATTATATATAGTGCATATATATATTATATACATTATATATACATGTATATATGTACATGGAGTTACACATATACAGGGTGTGGCGCAAGTAGGATTACAGTGTTTCCAATAGAAACTAATACAATAATAAATAGAAATACAAGAATAAACTCTGTGTTTCATGTACTCACAACTGTAAACCTACTTATACCCAACACTGTATTGACTACTATAATAATACTTCATTTATGTATCTACAATTTTGTCAAGAAATATTCATCCATATATCCATATTTTTCACCTGGTAAATACATCTACCATTGTAAGTATTTGTTATTATATTAAAAATCAATCAATACAAGAATAAATAGAAGAACCATTTCAAGTGATGATTGAGATGCAGAACCCCAGAGAGGAGAGATCTGGTTGGGTGGGGTGAAGGACACCCTGCCCTAGACTTTCACCCCTTTGTGCTACTGACCTTTCAGGAGCCCCTGACACCAACTTCTCCTGTGTGGACGTTGGGTCCAGGTTGTTGAAAACATGGGAACTCTCAGATGGAGGAAATAAGCTTACGGGGTCTTGAGACTCAGACTGAACACAGAACACACAGTTCTTAATCATGTCTGGACTGACATCATTTTTACACTCTGTCTGAGCTCTTGGGCTCAGCTAACTCTTATCGATGTGACTCAGAGCCAGGTGGTGAATTCAGACATCACAGCATCGCTGGTGTCAAGGGGCACTGGGAGCCCTGGGTAGAGATCAGAATCCCAGAGATATGGGTCTGCCCTGACCTCTGTGACCTCTTACCCACAATTCTTATCTTTCCATCCCCAAGACTACACAGTGGAGAATCTCATCCGGATGGGCGTGGCTGGATTGGTCCTGGTGGTCCTGGGGGTGCTGCTAATCCAGGCTCGGAACAGCCCGGGAAGGATCCATGATGCACCCAGGACTTAATCACAAGGGAGAACAATGCACCATTCAGAGTGGGGCACCTTGGAGCACATCTGATGATCCCAGGATGTGATGAATGAGCATCTGGACCCCAGTTGGGAAACTCTCTGCTGGGAATGTCCAGGGGAGGAGAGGTGCAGACGAGGTTTGGGTGCAGGGGAGCACGTGCCCTGTTCCTGTGGAGGACGCCTCCCCCATCAGACTGTGGTGCTCCCCCTCCCTGTCATCCCTGACTCTCCTCCACTGCCCTCTGTTCTCCCCTATGACGTGAGGGTCCGTCCCACACGGCTGGTTTGGATTCACATCTATGCACCCTTCATGCTGGATCACAGTCATACACACACAGTGTGGTGTCATCATAACACCGGGATTCTTTAAGAAACGTAAAGAACACACTCCTTAAACATAAATAAATAAAAGCCCTGCTACCTGCTACCTGTGCTTGTGGGTCCAGCCTACTGCAGGTCTCCCTTCCTCCTCCCTGTGTCACGTGGCTTCTTCCTTATATCCTTGGGACCTCTGTTCACCTAGATTTCAGGCAGTTCTGAATGAGGGTTGTCCTGTAGTTTAGCTGCAACTTTGCTGTGGGTGTGAGAGGATCTAAATGCGACATCTACCTACTCTGCCACCTTGACCAGAAGTCTTAATGTTTGATAACAAACCATCTTGAATTTTTGCCACCATTTTATTTAAGTAATGCATACATTTCATTTTCATTTACATTTTTTAAATTTTTACTAATCCTCACCCGAGGACATTTCTCTATTTATCTTCAGATAGACTGGGAGGGAGAGAAAGGGAAAGAGAAAGAAACAACGATGTGAGAGAGACACATCGACTGGTGGCTTCCCGCACGACCCCGAACATGGCCAGAAACGAACTGCAACTGAGGTATGTGCATGCCCTCGACCGAATTGAACCTGAGACGCATTGGTCCGCAAGCCAACCCTCTACCACTGAGCAAAACCGGCCACAGCCATATGTTTCCATTTAAATACTTCCTTTTTAATTTTCCAGACCACCTTTGAACTGATTGAGATTTATTTGTTTAATATAATTTCATCAACAAGTTTGGAGGTTATATATGCATTTCCAATTTGGATAGTACCACCATTGTTAGTATTGGTATTTATATTTGTAATTTTGAACCATTTCTGGCACATTCTCTCCTTTAGGTAAGAAAAGGTCATCACACATTAGCTGAACTCCTTGGGCCTGATTTGAAAATCTCCGTGTTTATGTGTCTCACACATACACACACGCACTCCTAATAGTCTCTAACCTTTCTTACATTTAAATGTATATGTGAATGTATGTACAGATATACTTTTCCTACAATTATTTGTTTTGCCAATACTTTTCTCACTCTTGCACTTCAATCTCTCTGCTTGTACGTCTGAAAATGATTTATTTCCATTAAGATACTTGAAAAATGTTCTTATTTCTGATAGAGGATATAATTCCAATGCAGGAAAGGGGAAATTCTCTGATGGTCAAGGATCAACCCCCAAAACCCTCCTTGTCCTTCCTGAGGACAAACTAGGTGTGGTAAATTTCACACATGAGACATGAGTTTGTGGATGTCAGATGTACCCCCATCTTCTCCTACTAATGGACTTCTCCCCTCGGAATCTTTCACCTTGACCTTTTAATAAAATGTGGATGAGTCTAGAATTCTTCATTCACAATTCAGTATTTGTGTTGTTGTTTTTTTAATCCTCACCCGAGGACATTTTTTTCATTTCTCTTGAGATAAAGTGGGAGGGAGAGTGGGAGGGAGAGAGAAAGAAACAGCAATGTGAGAGAGACACAACAAGTGGCCGTCCCCCACAATACCCTAACTGGGGCCAGGGACAAACTGCAACTGAGGTATGTGCCCTTAGTGGGAACTGAACATGGGATTCCTTGGTCCATGGATCGAGGCTCTAACCACTGAGCCAAACTGGCCAGGGTCACAATTCAGTATTTGAATGTACTTCCCCCTTCACTTTGCCAATTATTTTTCTGCTTGGATGTGAACGCTCATCAATTTCCACCACTTGCCATAAATTTTAAGACACACATTTCATGTATATATTTGTTGTACCATGGCCCTGCATGTTCCCTCTGCTTCTCTGTAAAATACCCAAACACTGGCCTCTACAACTGCAGCAATTTTCATCCTCACTACCTTCCTCCTGAATCTCACACTATCCATTGTTCTCTCTGTTTCTATTCCCCATGTATCTTAATTTTCTCATTTTATTATCTCTGTATTGTATCCTACAAATTTCCTCAACGTTGTCCTCCAATATCACAATGGTATCTTCAGCTGTATCTTCTCCTAGATGAAAAGACTATCTTGAGTGTGCTAAATCAAATTATGTTTGTTTGGGTTACTTTTAACCTCTAAGATATTTGTGTCAGTCCTTACTAAAATGTCATGTTCTTCTCTTATATAACGCCTGTTGTGTTGTGCAAGAATTCACATTTCTCCTTGATTTTGTCAGACATTTGAACATTCTTAAATTAAAATGACTTCCACATGTTTCTAATGCTGTTTCCTTGGACATGATAACCCTCACTGTGACTCTGTGGACAGGGTTCCATAGAACGGTGTCTTCACTGTGACCACACATTTACAGGAACCTTCAACCTCTTGTATTCCCATGCTCAGAGGTAGTTCTGACACACACTGCCAATCACTTTCTTATTCAGGAAGAAGCATATTATGCAGTTGATGAAGGACAGGAGAACTCTTCATGCTTCGAAATCTCTGATTTTCCAGGTGCAATAGCCAGTTCTAAGTCTTCCTGCTCCTGCTGATTCAGTCTCTGCTCTTCCTCTCTCTCACTTTTTCTCTTAGCCCATCGAAGCACATCTTCTTCAGAGGGACAGGTGAGCAAAATCACTTGGGTCAGCCTCTTGTTGGCCTAGTCGTGGAAGTGAGTGGACCATGAAACATGGCAGCATCATATTCCTTGGGGCTTTCCTTGCCTGGGAAAGGCTGAAATGGATCATCCAGTTGATAGAGATGGGGGAATCCAGCTTGTGGATGGGTCTCTTCCCAGGAGAGGCCGAGCAGGTCCAAGCTGCTCCTCCCACGAGGGTGCTGGGCCACAGAGATGACGGAAGGGGAGCCTCATACTCTTTCACTTTTGGACACACACCATGTCAGACCAGAAGGGATTGAATCTGTCACACACACACACACACACACACACACACACACACACACACACGGCATGTGACTCAGGGCTGCCTGTGGGCTGAGTCTGAGGGCTGTGATACCAGTGCCCATCCCAATATGTGGAGGGGAACCTGCTTTCAACGTTCCCCTTGAGTCCTGATCCCCTCCCTGCTGTGATGACATCAGGGTCCCTCTCCTGTCCTCACAGAGGGGAAAACTTTATTCTGATGACCCTGTTCAGTCTATACCCAGGCAGCAGTGGACACTGAACTCTGACCTCTCCTGTCTGTACCAGTTTCCTCTTCCTTTTTGTGCATTGAGCATGGCCCCATATTTCAGAAATACTGTCCAGAGCCTTTCTCAGATGAGGAGCAGGTGAGGGTTCTTAAGTGGGTCTAGCATCGTCCATGTTGTGTGGATTTTCAACAACACCTCTCATGCCTCACCTCACGAGTCTTAGGCACGTGTGGAAATGAACAAGGAGGGCTCCCTCCATGTCCCGGGGGCGAGGACTCCACAACCACTCTCAGGCCCTGGGTTCCTGACAACCTGCTGCAGGTGGGTACACGGAGACTCAGGAAACTGTTCGTTGATGCTTAAGGTCACACCAGAGATGGGCCACGAAGGAGTCATTCAATAAGCATGTTTTATTCCCCAAATCAGAGCAATGACACACATACTGTCCACTAAAGCTGAAGACAAGGTCACAGGACAAGGAGGGGGGAACTTCCCAAGGGGCAAGGGTGCTGAGGGGCAGGAATGACTCACAGGCTTCTTCCCACGCTGATGGGATGGGTGCTGTGGTCAGAAGGGGAAGCTCACCAGGGGCTGAGAGGGAACGAGGACCCACACTCGGGGGCCAGGATAAGAATCCATTTTACTTCCCTCATTTTCCTGCATTTCTACTCTGTGCCCCTTGTCACAGTGATACTCACCCGAACGGCACTGTTGATGGTGAGCGTGTCTCTGTGGATCTGAGCTCTGCAGGCCACGGGAACCCACGTCTTCCTGACGCATCTCCAAGACCCGGTGACCACTGTCCATGGTGAGGACCCCACAGGGAGATGCTGATGGACGACATGAAGATAAAGGAGGACCCCACGTGGGAGGCTCTGATATGGAAGGTCGCTCCCTGGGTCCCCTCACCTGCAAGGGGCATCTCAGGAGGCTCCAGATCTATTTCCTCATCCACCAGGAACAGGTGCTAGGCTTCTGGGGAGGGAAGGTTCCCCTTCCCCAGGGGCTGGTGACATGATAACCCAGGGACAGGGAGGGCCAGCCCTTGAGTGACCACACCCTGGGGTCCATCTGTCCCTTCCTGCTAAAGCCATTACACACGGAATCTGTGTAATGCATACCCCTCAGAAGATTGAAACATATTGAAAAGTAAGTAAATAATGGTGAATGTGTTCTCTTGTAAATAATAATAATAATAATAAAGAGGAGGGGACATCCAATGGAGATATTACTGCTCATTTCACACAGGCAGGAGGTGGTACACATATATTTAAATAAAGATGAATTTCCCTCGACAATCAAAGCTCCAGCCCAAATCACTGCCCTTAATTTTTAGGAAAAAGCCGTGACACTGGGGACAGCTCTGCCCAAGGAGCAGGGGGCACTGAGGGGGATCAGGACCCAGAGGCTGGTGCCAAGGGGGGAGGGGCTGGAGGCTGTCGCTAAGGAAAAGGAGAAGTTCATGAAAACACAAGAGATAGAAACCTAGACCTGGGGCCACAGAGGGGTGTGTTTCCTTCCCTCATTTCCCTGCATTTCTCCTCTGTGCTCATTGTCACAGGGACACTTGCCTGCCCTGCTCAGTTACAGGGTGAACGTGTCTCTGCTGATCTGAGCCCCACGGGAACCCACGTCTTCCTGAAGCATCTCCAGGGCCTGACAACGTCCGAGGTGAGGACCCCAGGGAGGTGCTGAGGGATGGGCTGAGGATGGTGGAGACCCCACGGGGGAGGCTCTGACAGGGAAGGACGTGCCCTGGGTCACCTCACCTGTTTCCTGCTTTGTGATGAAAGTGAGTCAGGCTGCTAGAAAGAGGCTCCCCTATAGGCTGCAGATGTGACATCCTGGTGAACAGCAGGCTTGGACTCCAAGGGACCACAACCTGTCATCTGTCTCTCTGTCCTGCATATCTGTCTGTCCCTCCTTCTGGCACCGTGGTCGCTTCCATCTGCTCAACTGACCCCAGAGGGACAGGACGTCATGACCCCCACACTCACCGCCCTGCTCTGCCTGGGTGAGATGTGACGGGGGAGGGGAAGCCCTGCTCTGTCAGAAGTTCCTGAATCTCAGCAGGCTCCCAGGAAGGAGGGTTCTTGTCAGGGGTCAGGGCGAACCTCTCACAGGGACTCTTTTCCAGGGCTGAGCGTGGGCCTGAGGACCAGAGTGCAGGCAGGTGAGTCTGTCCCTAGGTCTCCCAGGTCTCACTGCCTCTGGACACAGGGACACCCCCAGGGATATGGGGAAGGAGGAGAGCAGACCTGTCTGACAGAAGAGGGACATCGGGGATGGGGAGCTGGGGACTGGGATGGGAATGTCGTAGGACCCAGCCTCTGATTCCTTCCAGGGACCCTCCCAAAACCTACCCTCCAGGCTGAGCCAGGATCTCTGATCCCCTGGGGGAACCCCGTGACCATCACATGTCAGGGGACTCTGGGGGCTGAGGAGTACCGTCTGGATAAAGAGGGAAACTCACCTCCATGGAAAACACAGAAGCCACCGAACCCCGGAGACAAGGCCATGTTCTCCATCACACGGACGACAGACCATGATGCAGGGAGATATCGCTGTTACTATCGCAGCCCCTCTGGCGAGTCAGAGCACAGTGACCCCCTGGAGCTGTTGGTGACAGGTGAGGGGACACTCAGGGTCCCAGCCTCAGGCTCTGCCCTCAGGAAGGGGCTGCTCTCAGGACCTCTGCCCTCTCACAGCCCAGCCCTGGGGGACACGAGGGAGGTGTCACCCCATTTCACATGCTGTCTCCTCCCCTCCTAGGATCCTACAGCAAACCCAGCCTCTCAGCCCTGCCCAGCCCTGTCGTGACCTCTGGAGGGAACGTGACCTTCCAATGTGGCTCATGGCTGGGATTTGACAGGTTCATCCTGACTAAGGAAGGAGAACACAGGCTCTCCTGGACCCTGGACTCACAACAACACACCACAGGGCAGTCCCAGGCCCTGTTCCCTGTGGGCCCCATAACACCCAGCCACAGGTGGACGTTCAGATGCTATGGCTGTTACAGGAACAGCCCCCAGGTGTACTCACAGCCCAGTGACCCCCTGGAGCTCCTGGTCCCAGGTGAGTCCCATTATTGTCCCTTCCATGGTTTGAGGCACCAGACAGGGTATTGGGATCCTTGCTAGGAGGGGAGCCCCAGGTCAGAGGTGGGGTGAGTGGAGCACAGGGGCTCCTGTGGCAGAGACAAAGAGAGATAGTGAGACCCGGGCCAGGCCAGGAGAAGGGGTTATGGGAGGAGCAGCCCCTGTACTCACGTCTGGTCTCTCAGGTGTGTCTGGGAAGCCCTCCCTCCTGGCCCAGCAGGGCCCCATCGTGACCTATGGACAGAACCTGACCCTCCAGTGTGGCTCTGATGTCGGCTATGACAGATTCGCTCTGTCCAAGGAGGGGGGACAGGACCTCCCTCAGAGCCTTGTCCTGCAGCCCCAGGCTGGGCTGTCTCAGGCCAACTTCTCCCTGGACACTGTGCGCAGCTCCCACGGGGGCCGGTACAGATGCTACGGTGGACACAACCTCTCCTGCGAGTGGTCGGCCCCCAGTGACCCCCTGGACATCCTGGTGGCAGGTGAGGAGTCAGGGGTTCAGTCAGGGACCAAACTCTGCATAGGCCCTGCTGGGGGGTCACAGGTGGTCATGGTCAGAATGAAAGTGTAGGGCTCAGGGAGGGAGAGACAGAGAGACGGGGTGTGAGGGGAGAGGGTAGACTCAGAGAGAACAGAGACAGACAGAGAGGAGGGTCCTAGGAGAGAGGACTGGGGACCCTCAGGTCAGGACAAGGTGGGCAGGCAGCCCCTCACCCACCCTCCCTCTCTCTAGGATGGCTCTATGACACACCCTCCCTCTCGGTGCAGCCGGGTCTCACGGTGACCTCAGGAGAGAACGTGACCCTGCTGTGTCAGTCACAGACCCTGAAGGACACTTTCCTTCTGTCCAAGGAGGGGGCAGCCGATCCCCCCCTGCGTCTTCCATCAGAGCACCTAGCTCAGCAGTACCAGGCAGAGTTCTCCATGAGTCCTGTGACCTCCGCCCACGGGGGCACCTACAGGTGCTACAGCTCACTCAGCACCTCCCCCTACCTGCTGTCACACCCCAGTGAGCCCCTGGAGCTGCGGGTCTCAGGTGAGGGGCCCTGGCCCTGTCTTTCTGTGCTGTGGGTACAGGGTCCTGTCCCCAGAAGAAAGATGAGCTGAAAGGGAGGGAGGACTCTAGGGGTGGTCACCCAGAAGCCACCTGCCCCCCAGAGATCCCACTACCCCCTTTGATCCCTCCCCCTCACCAGGGTCCAGAAGGTGCCAGGTGGGCAGTGGGAGGGTGTTAGGGTGCACAGCACAGGTGTAGATGAGACTGAGTGAGGAGAGGACCCCAGAGTCAGCCCAGACTCTCACCTTCTTCTGTCCTCTTTCTTAAGATCCTCTGGGACCCTGGCCCCTCCCCCTACAGCACCCATCTCCACAGATGATGAACCACTAAGTCCTGTTTGCTCAGAGGGAGCACAGACACCCCAAGGGGATTCAGACTCTCACAGAGGATCTAATGCCCCCGGGGCACATGAGGGCAGCCTTGTGTCCAAGGCGACTAGGAATCAAAGAGAGATTTCAGGGGAACCATGGGATCCAGGGCCTCAGAGAATTCGCCCCAGCCCATGGAGTCAGGCCCGCAGAGGGTACGTGAGGCACAGGACAGGTGGGGTGCTCATGGCAGAGGGAAATATGGGGCCCAGGGGCAGCCAGACTCAGGTAGGGGAAGGCAACGCCCACCGCTCATTGACATTGACGTAGGGTGTAAGGGTGGGATGCGCTGGCAGGGGGTCTCCGTGCTCCCTGAGGTCATGACTTAGGTCCAGGTTCTCTGCCCAGAGCCCCAGGTCTCAGGGGAGCAGCCCTGGTCCTGTGCTGTCTAAGCTCCGACGTCTTCTCTGGGCTCATCCCCAGGAAGGTCTGACGTGAGGGCAATAACGTGAGCACTGGACAGTCCACAGAGGAGGGTCGTCTCCTTTGGGGGAGGAAACAGGGTCACCTCCCACACTGGGACCCCACCCTGCAGTCTCAGGCAGGGCTGAGGGAGGGAGGTGGCATTACTTGGGGTGAAGCTAAGAGGCAATGAGCTTAGACTAAGTGACCAGACAGATACCCAGCCCACTGATTCTGGTGTCTCCACCTCAGAGCCAGCGTGTCGCTCCTCACCAGGGGGCGTCCCACAGGGGGACCCCTGGGAAAGAGGCTGAATGTGTGTGGACTCAGCTCCTTTGGGAGGTGGATCTCACTGTCAGAAACTCTCTGTTCAAACAAGTGGGAGCTGCCTGGCCTTGGCCTGCAGGGACGCTGTCCTGTCGGACCTCCTGGGCTCCTGAACTGGCTGGTCCTGCACCTGCCCCGGTCCAGCCCTCCAGCCCTCCTGCTGCTCCAGTAACTGTGATTGTTCTGATTGGAAAGCTGAGGGAGACAGGGAGCAGGGACACGCGATTTGTGTCCTTCCGCCTGGGGGCTCAGCTAGCAGGAGGAACCCAGGACATTACAGAGTCTGCAAGGATTTGGAAATTCCCATTTAGCATCTCACCTCCTCCTGCTTCCACATCAAATCAGTGGAATTTTCTACTAAACCCGCATGGTGCCCGGGTCCCTAACCGGATAGGAGAATGTGTGCAGCAGATGATGGAGACAGGGGCGCGTTGGTAGAACTGGGTGTGCAGGCCTGGCCCGTACTACAGGGAACACGGATGGGCTGACGGAGAAGAAGAGGTGCTGAGTGTCGGAGAGAAGACAGATGGACAGTCCCCCATCAGCTCATTTCCAGAGACCCTTAGACTGAACCCCTGACCTGCACATGTGGGGACCCTCAGCCTTCGCAGAGCAGGACAGAAGGATGCTCGGGCCAAGGAGGGACATGCTGTGGGTGAGGGTGGAGTCCCCTGGACACTGTGCTGTAGAGAGAACTGTTCCCTCCTGGGGGCCCCCTTCTGCAGGCTCCTGAGCTCACCTGGAGGCCTCCATGCACTCGGTGCTCACCTGAGACTCGGGGGACCGTGCAGAGCTCATGGGGACTCAGGGTCCTGCCCAGAATGTGTGAGAAATCCACACCAGCTCCTCGCAATTTTTGCACACGCCTCTCTATATTGATATTGTTTGAGAACCTTTTGGCAATACTTGCAAATGTAAAATGAAGTCACAGTCATTTAGGTCTTGAAAAAGGTTATTCTATTCCTATTTTAAATGGCATTATATTAAATTTATATCTTTATTATGAGGAATAACTTCTTATTAATATAAAGTTTCTTATAAAAGATGCTTGAATAGTTTGAATTTTGCTTTAAATGCATTTTTTATAAAACGGTCTCAACTCATAGCTCAAGAATTGCTCACGTGCTACATATATGCATGTGTGTGCATTTTGAACCAACCCATGGATCCTAGGTCCCCAGCTGTTTCAAAACCAGAGCTCTCTTACCCAGAAGAGTTAGTGTCTATGAGCAGACACTTTGCAAGAAGTAGTTATTTTCTGCCATGAGACACCACGTTTCTCCCCAATCCTGAATTCTCTAGCAGAGCCAAGCTCTGTTCCCCAGTGACTCAGAAGCAGTCTACTCTCCAAAGGCACAGGAGTCAGAAAGACCCCATAACAATATTCAGGGTCCTTCTGTAGCAGAGAAAGTGTTCCTGAAGGGACTGGTAGCCCTCACATCATGAGAAGTGGGAGGGTTCTGGGGACCACAGGTGTGAGTAGCATCAACCCCTCACACAGCCCCACCTCTTTGTGGTTCTCTGGAGCATTGGCGTCACAGCCCATCACAAAGCACCTCAAGTCACATTTCTGAGGGCCAATGCAATGACTCGTGACCTTTCAAGGGTTGGTGTGTGAGCTGGGTGGACACCCCGTATTCTGGGCTGACTTATGCCTGCCCTGACTTTTTTGACCTCTTTGTTCACAATCCCAGCCTCCCACCCCCTAGACTACACAGTGGAGAACCTCATCCGGTTGGGCGTGGCTGGCTTGGTCCTGGTGGTGCTCGGAGTGTTGCTGTTTGAGGCTCAAAACAGCCAGACAAGTGCCCACCAGGTGGCCAGGATGTAAACATAGAAGGAAAACAACGCACCTTCAGAGAGGGTCACCTTGGAAATGAATCTGATGTGCCCAGAAGACTCTGGAAGAGCATCTGGGACCTATGCGGAGTGACCTGTCTGCAGCTCACTGCAGGGGGAGCAGTCATTGTCCACGTGCAGAGAGAATGTCTCGGACCTTTTTCATTAAACTGTGTACACTTCCTTCCCCACCATTGCCGAGTCCAGTGACTGGGTCCTGACTTTCCCCCTTACGAAGGAATGAGCATTTATCCCACGTGGCAGATTTCAGTCCACACCTCCTACACTTTCATGGAATAGGTTTTCCTTGACTTCTCGTCACACAAACATTGATGGTTGGACAGAGTTTCCATCTTCTGAGTTCAGAGCCATCTATTCGAATCAATTGACAAGGTGGCATAACCGAGATCCATCCCACAGGAGATAAATCATAATCATGGCCTATCGCCTCTCTGGACTCCACCCGCCCATCGATTTCCCTCAGATGCCACCTGTGAACTTTCTTCAAAAACCCACCTTTGGATCTACAGGTTGCTGTTTGAAGGGCTCCCCTGGGCTGTCCTACCTCTAAAACCTGTTGTTCTAAATACTATGTAAGGTACCGGTGTATGTTATAGAGTGTACACCTCACACCTATGTAACGTTATTAACCTAGGACACCCTAGTACATTGAATTTAAAAAAAATGGTAGGGTTATAATGAGGCTTGATTGGAAGCTGTCCATCGGCTGCACTGGCTCTGTGGCCTCCCAGGAGGTACAAAGTCATCTTCCCCCTGTGTTCTACCTGGAGCCACCTGGCACAGACTACAGAGCAGTCTGTGGAGGGCTGCGGGTTGCGTTGGCCTTTGAGGTGCCCGGAGAGGTCAGTTGGGAACCAAGGTGTCTGCCACTAGGAGGTCCTAAGCCCAAAGAGCAGCAGGCCCAGGGCTTTTCAGGGCCAAATGCTCCTCCTTTGAATGATGTCAGGAAAGTCCAAAGCATGAGACCAGAGAAGCCATTTGTATGGAAAAGTCACTGGACACAGCTTGAGTAGGCTTGAATGTTGGATGGGGCAGGGTCTCAGGAAATCAGCCGAGAGTGGGGCAAACAATGTGAGCCGATTGATGGAGACTCGGAGGTGGCGTCTGCCTGCGGGCTCTGTGGGGACAGTCTCAGAAGAGGGGAAATGGCCTCTGCCAGCACTTCTGTCTGGCAGAAAGCTGACCCCCTTCAGCTCTCACTTGGGTGACAGACAATTCAGTTTCTGCCCATATGTCCTTGGTTCTTTTCAAGCAGCCGCCACAGTGTTGGAGCTCAGAGTGATGACTCTGAGTAAGTTTGTTCTCAGGCCCTGTAAGAGGAAGGTCTGGGACTCCAGAGACCATCTGTCTCACTCAACCAAAGTCCCCACTGGTTTTTACAGCCAGAAGTTGGAGAATTCCCTTCCTGGCATTGGAATCCTGAGCTGGGAACGTGGTGTGGAGCTAGGACAGTCTGTCCTTAGGGGGAATCTCCACAGCCAAGATCGTCTCCCCAATAGTTTTCTGCCAGGAGTGTACGTGAGACCAGCCCATCCCATGTCTTTGCCCCCTTTTGCCAGTCTCAGCGTGGCTTGGTTTATATGTCTCTATTTGTACAATTTCCATTCACCTAGATTTCAATCATATTTGAATAAATAATTAATACTTTTTAAAAATTATTTTAGAGATAGAATGGGAGGGAGAGAGAGATAGAAACATCAACAAGACAACATCGATTAGCCACCTCCTGCCCGCCCCCCCCCACTCTGGATTTGGCCCACAACCTGGGCATGTGCACTGAACAGGAATCGAACCTGCGACCTCTTGGTGCTTGTGTTGACACTCAACCACTGAACTACTTAGGCCGGGCCATTGTTTTATACTTTACATGTAATTTGATAAGGGTTGAGCAAGTATGTGAGGTTTTTGTTTGTGACTGGTTTATTTCATGTGCCCTCAAGAGCCATCCATTTTAGCATGTGAGATAATTTTCTTCTTTCATCAATAATTTACATTTTCCTATTACAGTTGAAATACAAAATCATCTTAGTTTTGGGACACAACATAAATATTGGACATTTGTGTTTTTTTTTTGGTTTTTTTTGGGGGGTGGCTTCATTTTTCCTCACTGTTACTTCTCCTTTTCTCCAGATTGAATTCACTGTTCTTCTAACTAAATTATATTACTTTCTATCTTTCAACTGAGTGTGAAAATAGTAAAGTAACAAGTTGAAGCTCTGGAAATGCCTTCTTTCGCTCTCATTTTTGTTATCAAGTTTTTTGAAAACAGTTTTTCATTTCAAATCAAGTGGATGCGTGAACTAGTAGGAGAGAAATAGGCACCTTGTAGTTAAAGGACATCCCCCCTGAAAGCTGTTCTCTCTCATGGAGACACAGCCTGGCGTGGTGGGTCTACTGAGGGAGACGCAGTTCCTGCTGAGAGATTTGCCCCTGCTGACACGTTCACCTTTGGTCCTGAAAATTAATGTGGCTGAGCACAAAATCTTCACAACATTCTGCTCCTTGAAGGTATTTTCCCCCTATCTTCTGATATCATTTCTTTGTTGTTGTTGTTGTTCTGAGTAAGTCAAGTCCCACGGAGCTATTTTTATGGTAATTTGAATTTATCTAGGAAGTAATTTTAGGACGTGTTTTAGGAACCCAGGCTACTTCTCCTTCAAGTTTTTTTTTTATTTTGAGTTGAAATTTACATAAAATAATATAAGCCATTTTAATGAGTACAATACAGTGTAGAGTAATGTGTTCTTTTTTTTTTTTTAACTTACCCTACATTTTATTTTTTGCCCCTAAAGTTCAAGTTACAAATTTCATTTTTAAGTCCCTGCATCCTGTCACTTAGTTTCCTCATCTCTGTAAAGTGTTCTATTATGTATCTCTGGAGCTGTTACTCGATGTCATTCTCACTTTTTTCTTTCTGACACCACAGATAGGACATTGCCCTCCTCATTGTAGTCTCCAAGTAGCAGACATCCCCACTTCAGGTCTCCCTATGCTGCATTCTGGGAATTTCCTCAGTATTATACTCCACTTTCTAAATTTTATCTTCAGCTACGTCTCATCCTTGATGGGATAAATTGTTTTAATGTGTTCATTCTATTGGATATTTTATCTTTAAGATTTCTTACTCATGCTCTTCTACTAAAATATCTATATCATTCATGTGTCAAAAGATGGCTCTTCCCTTAATTTTCAGATACTCAAGCATGATTAATCTCCAATTACTCTCAATTTTTTCTTGGGATTCTATTTCAGTGCATATGATTATCCCATTATTATTTGATTGCTGCCCATAGCACTCTCGTCATTATTTGGGTTAGTCCATTTTCCATTCTTACTGGAAGTGTCTTCTCTCACACACCTGGTTTTCCACAGATTTCTGCTGTGGACGCCCAGGGACTCAAGCAGATGAGGGCCTGTAGCAGCAGCTCATCACCATGAAGACCACTCTCTCTGTCTCAGCATCTACTCCGTGTTCTACCCACCAGAGCTGGTGAATTGGGAGACACACACACACACAGACACACACACACACAGACATGCACAGACATGGGACAGACAGCCATGGCTGATAATATAGAACTTAATCTGTTTCAGGCATCATAGACAAGTTTGCTCACTGTTGACCATGGGCTTGTTCTTGGGGGCATAGAGAGCCCAGGACCTGAAGACAAACATAGGACAGGGACCACAGTTTCCCCCCTTCACCTTGACCCTGATTCCTTCCTTTCTATAAGGACCCAGGGTCCCTCTGTGTTCACAGAGGTGAGAATCTCCTCCCTGTAATCTGTTGATGATCCTCACTCAGCAGCAGAGACTACTCAGGTTTGGCCTCTGTTCTTTGATGTGGTTTTGTCTGTATTTGGGGAACTTTCATTTCCCTTTTGCTGCACTTGATGGTACCTAAAACTCTAGAAATATTGCCAGTAGCTCTACTTGGTATTCAGAGCAGACCAGGTCTCTTGGGTGGTACAACAATCCTGCACTTGACTCTGGACACCTTGACTCTTTCATCTCCCAACCCACTCAAGCCTCAAATGAATCTAAAAGCTGATGTGTCCCCCCATGAACCCAGCAGCACCTACCCACACATCCTCTGAGGATCCTCATGAGGACACTGAGGCTCAGAGCTAAGACATGACCACTCAAAGACACACAGGCACTGGGAGATGGGTATTTAAATAATCATCTGCTTTTAGTCAAAATCAAACTGTCATCCACACAGGTGTTCCCTGGGCATCATGGCGGGTCCCCAGGACGAGGAGACTTGAACTCCAAAAACAGGAGGCACTGAGGAGGTGGGAATGACTCAGCAGCTTCTCCCCCGGAGGTCGAGGTGGAGTCTGTCTCTAAGAGAAATAGAAAAGTTCGTGAGGGCCGCTAAGACAGAAAGAAAACCACTCTGGGGCCATGACAAGGGATGTGTTTCCTTCCCTTATTTCTCTGCATTTCTCCTCCATGCTCATTGTCACAGGGACACTCACCCTGTGTGGCAGTTGGATGGTGAACGTGTCTCTGTGGATTTGAGCCCTACAGGCCCCAGGAACCCACGTCTTCCTGAAGCAGCTCCAGGGCCCAGGTGGCACTGTCCATGGTGAGGACCCCAGACACTGGTGCTGATGGACGGGCTGCTGATGATGGAGACCCCACGGGGGAGGCTCTGACAGGGAAGGACGTGCCCAGGGCCACATCACCTGCCAGGGGCATCTCAGGAAGGCTCAGGACTACTTCCTGCTCCCCCCTGCAACTACCGCCAGGCCCTGGGTGACCCTGTTCCTCTTCCCGAGTGGCAAACTGTCGTGACACCCGGTGACAGCGAAGGGCCAGTCTCCCAGTGTCCACCCCCTACGTGCTCGTCTGTGTTGAAGGCACCGAAGCCTCCTGCATTGGCTCAGCTGGGTCCAGACAGAGGACACACCATGACCCCCACCCCCACGGCCCTGCTCTGCCTCTGTAAGGTTTGAGGACGGGGAGGGGAAGCGCTGGTCTGGGATGGACCCTGCCCCTTAGCCAGACCATGTGTCACTAAACCCCAGGACGCAGGAGTCTCATTGGGAGGAGGTTTCTGCCCACGATTTGGGGCCAAATCTCTCACAGAAACTCCCTTCCAGGGCTGAGTGTGGGCCTGAGGACCAGAGTGCAGGCAGGTGAGTCTGTCCCCAGGTGCCCTAAGTCTTGTTCCTCCTTCGGGACAAGGGACAACCCCCAGGCCACTGGGGAAGAACAGCAGATCTGATAGACCAATGGGGGACACCTTTGAGGCCTGGAGATTAGGGTGGGAATGTGTTAGGACTCGGCCTCTGTTTCCTTACAGGAAAGCTCTACAAACCTATGCTTTGGGCTGAGCCAGGATCTGTGATCCCCTTGGGGAGCCCCGTGAACATCACATGTCTGGGGACTCCAGAGGCTGAGATGTACCATCTGTATGAAGACAGAAACACAGTGCCGTGGAAAACACAGAAGCCACCGAACCCCAGAGACAAGGCCACGTTCTCCATCACACAGATGACAGAACACGATGCAGGGAGATATCGCTGTTACTATCTCAGCCCCTCTGCCTGGTCAGAGCCCAATGACTTCCTGAAGCTGGTGGTGCCAGGTGAGGGGATACTATGGGATCCCAGCCTCAGTCTGTCCCCTCAGGAAGGGGTCTGCTCTCAAGGTGTCTACTCTGTCAAATCCCATCCCTGGGTGGCATGAGGGAGGAGTGAGCCCCATTTAACATGCTGTCTCCTCCTCTCCTAGGACCCTATAGAAAACCCAGCCTCTCAGCCCTGCCCAGCCCTGTCGTGACCTCAGGAGGGAACGTGACCCTCCAGTGTGGCTCAGGGCAGGGATTTTGCAGGTTCATTCTGACTAAGGAAGGAGAACAACACAGCCACTCCTGGACATTAGATTCACAACAACACACCATGGGGCAGTACCAGGCTCTGTTCGCTGTGGGCCCAGTGACCCTCAGACACAGGTGGACGTTCAGATGCTATGACTGTTACAGGAACAGCCCCGAGGTGTGGTCATATCCCAGTGACATTGTGAAGCTTCTGGTCTCAGGTAAAGAGCACATCTCCCTCACAGGTTTGCTAAGAGATTTAGGTGAGACCCCAGAAGTAGAATTTTTCAGCATGGGATGGGCCAACCAATGCTCTGGAAAAAGCTGATCCAACCTCATGTCCCCTCCCAGATACACACTCAGTAAAGTTCAGGCAGATCCTTCATGGGAGTGTGGGGTCTGCAGGATAGAGGACAGAGCTTGGCTGAATGTAGAGGTTGGGGAAGGCAGAGAATTCATCCCACACAGACCCTGGCTCTGAGCATACCCATTTAGGTCCCCCAAATCCTCTGATGGTTTAGTGAATGGGAATGACTGGGGAGATGTATTCAAATCTAGCCAAAGGAGAAGGCTGGGGCACATGGACAATGGGGCAGGACATTCCAATCAGAGAAGAATTCCCCAGAGCCCAAAGCTGGTCTCTGTTTGGTGAGGCAACATGAGCAGAGCAGAAGGGAACCCACAGTCCTTGATTCAAATCCCAGCTCTGCCACTTCTAGGCTGGATGACCTGGGGCCTCCAACTTATCTCTCTGAGCCTGTTTCCTCATTTGTGACATGAGTGGAGATGGGATTGGCAATCACATATTGCTTGATTGTTATGAGGGTTAGGGGTGATTAATACACAGAACCCAAAACATGTCTGGCACACAGTAGGTGCTCAGTTAAGTAGCATCATCGGCTCATTCATGATGTCATTGTATCCAAGGTCTTCAAAAGTACCAGAAAGTCCTGATCGGGGTCTCTGTGACCTTCATGCTGCTGCTCTCCCTCCTCCTCTTCTTCCTCTTTCTCCTCAAGCACCACAACAAGTCCCGCAAGTCAGGTGAGTGGAAGATGGGGAGACCTGGGCTACCTGAGAGGGGTGACCTTCCTCTAAAGACATATGAAGTGGCTTTCTAGGTACCAAAAATGGCACCACACACACAAAAATTATGTTCAGTTTGGAAAAGTATCCTATTAAACAATCAAAAATTTCTAGAAAGCTCTTTCTATCCCAGCTTGTATTGATCATCTTCTTGGGGTAGAGATCTGAGATTCCCTTGAGAGTATGGTTGTGATGGGAGGCATCCTGTGTGGCAGTAGCAGGAGTTTACGCAGAACTTGGGGGACGATGCTGGTGTCCTTCTGCAGTCAAGAGCAGTGGGGAGTGGGCACAGTGGGGAGGAATGGAAGTGGAGTTTGAAGTGGTTGGGAGTTTCATTGTTCTGATAATATATGTAAATATATAAGGTTAAATGCCCATGAAGGATTTAAAAACGTGTAAAGGCAGTTGACTGGAATAAAACCTGAGGTGTTGCACTGAAATTGAAAATGACAGTATTGTTACTGAAAAAAAGTTTGTCTGCCTGCAGCAACAAAAGCCGAGATGGGTGAGACAGGTGCTGGTGAAAAGGAAAGGGGTTTATTCAGGTGCCGGCGCCCTGAGAAGATGGCGAATTCCTGTTCCAAAAATCCATCTTAACCTCTCTCATCAAGCCAGGGGCTTTTATAAGGAGAGGGCAGGGAAGTGGGGACGTGTAGACAGTGTACTCTTGCTAGTTCTAACAAAAACTTGGTGGTAGCATGCTGAATCCTTTGGTAACAGCTGAATTCCTGCAGTCAGTCAGCTTCTTTCTGGACAGGAACTGCTGCTGGTCCCTGTGATGTACTAAATCAGAGCTAAAATAGAGGTCGTTAACAACAACAACAACAACAAAAAATTTGTTTCCATTTTTGTTCCAACAGGTTTGTCAGTTTATTAGTACATTTAATTCTAATTTATACAATATTGCATAAAGATGTTTTTCCTTGTCTGTTACAGTATGACCTCATTAAAAGTAAATATATGTGTGTGTGTGTGTGTGTGTGTGTATACATCAATTGACATATAAATAGTTACAAGTATAAGTGTTTTTACTTTGTGTACCAGCTCAGACCTTGACACAGTGACAGCCCACTAGAAATAAGCACACCTATCATCCAGATGTTGGCTTTGAAACACCCTCCGCTATGAAAAAGAAAAAAAAATTAATAAGAATACATAACTGTCGAAAATGTTCTTTCAGGCTCATAAAAATGTATTTAAATCTATCATGCAAGTTTTGAGTGCTACTGTTTCATTTTGTTGACATTGAACTCCAAATGGACTGGGGTGGGGATCACAGCCTCTGAGATCTTAATGCAGCCCTGGGGACAGGGATCTGGGTGGTTTAGAAGCTAATCTACAACTTTGTGCAGGTGCTTCAGACCCTGAAGCTGAGACCAGAGAACTGCAGAAATAGGTAATTTCTTCCCTGTCTCCTTCCTAGAACTCCCACCTCCACCTGTACCTCATTCAACACTGCCTAATGCTCCTGCTCTCCTCCCTCACCTCCAGTTTCACAACTGATGTCCAGGAGCAGAACCGGTGTAATTGTGGAGGAGGTGAGGTCCTGAGAGGACACAGAAGAAGGAGTGGTTGGGAATATTCTGGGCTTAGGGGTGAGGAAGCATGAAAGCCCCAAATGTGTGTGGTTTCAGACACATCCCTGCCTCTTGATGAACCTCTGTTTTTTCACCTAAATTGGGAGGGGTGATTGGAATCGAGGAATTTCAGGAATCTTGCATGGAATAGAATCTTCTTTCTCTAGATGCTTCTGTAATAGATTTCCAACCTGAGGAGGACAAAGAGATGAACAGTCAGGTAAGACCCCTGCCCTGTCTAGGGCACCCAACACAGACTTGTTATTAAGCTAAATCCATGGAATGCATCTTCCTTCTTCTGTCACTCAGTCCTCAGCCACATATGACCTTGCCCATCCTCCTGAAAGAGATACACTCAAGATACTGGGCCACTGCTTCTCAGTGGGTTTTTCTGATATTACGTGGGCCCCCTTTTTTGGTTCCTCCACTTAGGTACCTTTGATTCTTGATTGTTCATATCTCATAATCATAGTGCTGCCATGGACAGTTGTACACTTTGTGCACTTCACAATAAGGCTTGTAGGGTTACTGGTGGGGTCTGACTGGCATGCCTATCCTTGCACAAATCCCCCCTGTAGACTAGCCAGATTGTGCACTAGTACTCTCTGCCTTCCTTCCCCCCCCCCTTTATTTCCTGTTTTGTCACTTTCCCTCAATATAATGGATTTAGATGCACTGGACCCACACAATAATGCACCTGGGGCGTAACAATTGGCATTTGGTTTCTACTTCCTCAGAAAATCTGCCAACTCTCATGTTACCCTCACCTTGAGACAACTCTGTAATTTGTGTTGCAAATTTTTATTTAGCCCGGCCAGTGTGGCTCAGTGGTTGAGTACCAAACTATGTACCAAGACATCGTTGGTTTGATTCCTCATCAGGGCATATGCCCAGGTTTTGGGCCAAATTCCCAGTGGGGGGCATGCAGGAGGTGGCCAATTGATGTTCACTCTCATCGCTGTTTCTCTCTCTCTCTCCCTTCCTCTCTCTCTAACACAATAGAGTAAAAAAAGGCTTTTTAAATTTATTTAATCCCAGATGTAGCTAAATTCTGTCTGTGCTCATGAATCCTCAATTATTTCCAGCTCTGACCTCTTGTTTGAGCACCAACCTCAAATATCCAAATACCCAACAGCCATCTCTACTGTTTGTCCAGCAGGCATTTTAATATCACAGGTACAATTCTTAAATCTCTCCCCAAGAGTTATTTCTCCCTCAATGTTCATGACTTCCTTCCAAATCTATAAATCTTTCTCAATTTTATCCTTTCTTTTGTGTCCACACCAATATCTAGAGACATTTTGTTTGCCCAACCTTAGCTTCCGATGATTTTATGTTCAAAAGGAGGGGCTGAGAAGCTGGTTGGGGCCCCGCAGCCTGACTGTCAGCTCTGAGAGGGACTTGGTCATGTCCACCATGAACGCGAAATCACACAGCCACTTGCTATCATTGAGTTCCCTGACAGGTTTCCCTTCATCTCCATGAACTGCTTGACTTCATCCCACAGTTCCTAAAACCTCATGAGCATGTTCTCACGAGTCAGCCACCATACTTCACAGTGATAAACAAGATCACCGCACTCAGAGTCAAGATCATTTAGTAACTCCTCCAACTGGCGGCTGTTAAATCCTCTGCTTTTGACAAAATTTATGCATGCCACTACTGTTGGCATCACATTGTTGAGCTGCAATGACTGTGCACAAAGATTTTCTTGGTGTGTGATGCAGTGGCACCTAATTGAATCACTTGGATCAAGACTGGGACCATTCAGTTCTTCCTTGACAAATGCAATGAACCCTTTCTGTGAGCCATCCCTGGCTGGAGCTCCATCTGTAGGAAGGCCACTTAACTTTTCAAATGTTAGCTTAAGTTTTCTCATTGATAAAACAAGTCTCTCAAACAAGTCCTCACCTCTTGCAGGGCCAGGCATGGTCCCAGGGACAGCAGTTCCTCTCGCGTGTCAAACTCTGCAGTTATGCAATGAGAGAAAAACAGGAAATCTTTAGAATCCTTCAGTGTTTTTTCAATATCTTGAGCTAAGTCAGTAATCCGATCTGAGACAGTTCTCAGAGACAAACACTCTGAAACAATGTTCCTGTGTCTGGTGCTCACAACTCCGCAGCAGCCGCCATGCGCTTTCTCAAACTCTCCTGATTCACTCGCTCACTAGACAACTCGTCTGAATATCGTCTGTGTCGCAACGAGGCCTAGAGAGAGCTGCTTGTTGTGGTTCCAAACCCAGCGGAAGAGCATTGATTTATATCCAGACACCTTGGCCTCCCAATTCATTGAGTTGAGTATGTTTTGAGCTCCAGTGACACTCCAGCTTGGCTTTGTCATTAGTGCTAACGCATCTCCACAAACTAGGCACATAGGTGTGTCTTTCACTTCAACAACAAAAAACAATCATTTGTCCATTTCTCTTGGAAAGATCGACATTCCTGCATCAACTTTTCTTTGTAGTCACCATTTATAAGGTGCCATTCCTTTTAAATTGTAATAACTATGCCATTTGTGTGGCCAGCAATGCGTTTATTTGCTTTGATCGCTGTTCTAATTCTGCACCTCGATTTGGAACATATCCAACGTTCGTGTCATCGACTCTTGAGGTCTCTTCTGTGTACTGTGATTTCCTTCATCTTCATCCGAGATTCAGTTTACCCCAGGATTGTTGATGGTGCACGTGTGAATAAAGATTGGATTGGAGTTATTATCTGTGTTGGCAGAGACGTCGACAAGATCCATGTCCATCATCGGAGGTGAGGTCATCAACGTCGCGAGGAATCATCTCGTGGAATCCGGCCTCATCATCACCGGATCGCTGTGGATTCACCACAGAGTGTAACTGCCTTCGCAGCGTGTATACTCCCAGCCTGCCCGTCACTGACCGTCCTCTGAGTCACCACAATATAGGCAGACGGGCCGCGGGCAGTCGACGAGAAGTATACATGTCTGTCCTCTCGTGTACCCGTATGTGTCCTGTCTATCCCATAATGGACGTTCTTGGTCTGTCCCTCAACATTTACGTTATTATTATGATTCACTTAATGAAAATGTATGTTGCTGTGAAAAGAGCTCCTAAATTTATTGAATTTTTAGTCCCATCTGCGGCTGCCTAAGCAGGGCCAGAACTTACACGGCCCTTGGGCAGGATGTTCCGCACCCCGGACCCAGAGGCTTGTTCCCACAGAGGAGGGGCTGGAGGATGATGCTCAGGAAAAGAGAAGTTCACGAAAATGGGTGTGATACAAACCCCAGCCTCTGGGGCCACAGAAAGGTGTTTCCTTCCCTTATTTCCCTGCATTTCTCCTCTGTGCTCATTGTCACAGGGACACGCGCCTGCCCTGCTCAGTTACAGGGTGGACGTGTCTCTGCTGATCTGAGCCCCACAGGAACCCACGTCTTCCTGAAGCATCTCCAGGGCCTGACAACGTCCGAGGTGAGGACCCCAGGGAGGTGCTGAGGGATGGGCTGAGGATGATGGAGACCCCACGGGGGAGGCTCTGACAGGGAAGGACGAGCCCTGGGTCACCTCACCTGTTTCCTGCTGTATCATAAAAGTGAGTCAGGCTGATACAAAGAGGCTGCTCCCTCCCCTATAGGCTGCTGATGTGACATCCTGTGACCAGCAGGCTCGACTCCAAGGGACCACAACCTGTGTGTCTGTCTCTCCGTCCTGCATGTCTGTCTGTCCATCCTTCTGGCACCGTGGTCCCTTCCATCTGCTCAGCTGACCACCAGAGGGACAGGACGTCATGACCCCCACACTCACCGCCCTGCTCTGCCTGGGTGAGATGTGACGGGGGAGGGGAAGCCCTGCTCTGTCAGAAGTTCCTGAATCTCAGCAGGCTCCCAGGAAGGAGGGTTCTTGTCAGGGGTCAGGGCGAACCTCTCACAGGGACTCTCTTCCAGGGCTGAGCGTGGGCCTGAGGACCAGAGTGCAGGCAGGTGAGTCTGTCCCCAGGTCTCCCAGGTCTCACTGCCTCTGGACACAGGGACACCCCCAGGGAGGTGGGGAAGGAGGAGAGCAGACCTGACTGACAGAAGAGGGACATCGGGGATGGGGAGCTGGAGACTGGGGTGGGAATGTCTTAGGATCCAGCCTCTGATTCCTTCCAGGGACCCTCCCCAATCCTACCCTCCAGGCTGAGCCAGGATCTCTGATCCCCTGGGGGAGCCCCGTGAACATCACATGTCAGGGGATTCTGGGGGCTGAGGAGTACCGTCTGGATAAAGAGGGAAACACACCTCCATGGAAAACACAGAAGCCACCGAACCCCGGAGACAAGGCCACGTTCTCCATCACACGGACGACAGGCCATGATGCAGGGAGATATCGCTGTTACTATCGCAGCCCCTCTGGCGAGTCAGAGCACAGTGACCCCCTGGAGCTGGTGGTGACAGGTGAGAGGACACTCAGGGGTCCCAGCCTCAGGCTCTGCCCTCAGGAAGGGGCTGCTCTCAGGGCCTCTGCCCTCTCACAGCCCAGCCCTGGGGGACAGAGGGAGGTGTGACCCCATTTCACATGCTGCCTCCTCCCCTCCTAGGATCCTACAGCAAACCCAGCCTCTCAGCCCTGCCCAGCCCTGTTGTGACCTCAGGAGGGAACGTGACCCTCCAGTGTGGCTCAGAACAGCCATTTCCCAAGTTCATCCTGACTAAGGAAGGAGAACACAGGCTCTCCTGGACCCGGGACTCACAACGACACAGCACAGGGCAGTCCCAGGCCCTGTTCCCTGTGGGCCCCGTGACCCCCAGCCACAGGTGGACGTTCAGATGCTATGGCTGTTACAGGAACAGCCCCCAGGTGTGTTCACACCCCAGTGACCCCCTGGAGCTCCTGGTCCCAGGTGAGTCCCATTATTGTCCCTTCCATGGATTGAGGCACCAGACAGGGTATTGGGATCCTTGCTGGGAGGGGAGCCCCATGTGAGAGGTGGGGTCAGGGGAGCACAGGGGCTCCTGGGGCAGAGACACAGAGAGACAGTGAGACCCAGGCCAGGCCAGGAGAAGGGGTTATGGGAGGAGCAGCCCCTGTACTCACGTCTGGTCTCTCAGGTGTGTCTGGGAAGCCCTCCCTCCTGGCCCAGCAGGGCCCCATCGTGGCCTCTGGACAGAGCCTGACCCTCCAGTGTCGCTCTGATGTCGGCTATGACAGATTCGGTCTGTCCAAGGAGGGGGGACAGGACCTCCCCCAGAGCCTTGTCCTGCAGCCCCAGGCTGGGCTCTCTCAGGCCGACTTCCCCCTCGACACTGTGCGCTCCTCCCACGGGGGCCGGTACAGATGCTACGGTGGACACAACCTCTCCTCCGAGTGGTCGGCCCCCAGTGACCCCCTGGACATCCTGGTGGCTGGTGAGGAGTCAGGGGTTCATTCAGGGACCAGACTCTGCACAGGCCCTGCTGGGGGGTCCCAGGTGGTCATGGTCAGAATGAAAGTGCAGGGCCCCAGGAGGGGGAGACAGAGAGACGGGGTGTGAGGGGAGAGGGGATACTCAGAGAGAACAGAGAAAGACAGAGAGGCGGGTCCTAGGAGAGAGGCCTGGTGACCCTCAGGTCAGGAGAAGGTGGGCAGGCAGCCCCTCACCCACCCTCCCTCTCTCTAGGATGGCCCTCTGACAGACCCTCCCTCTCGGTGCAGCCAGGCACCATGGTGACCTCAGGAGAGAAGGTGACCCTGCTGTGTCAGTCACAGTACCCGACGAACACTTTCCTTCTGTCCAAGGAGGGGACAGCAGATCCCCCCCTGCGTCTTCCATCAGAGCACCGAGCTCAGCAGTACCAGGCAGAGTTCTCCATGAGTCCTGTGACCTCCGCCCACGGGGGCACCTACAGGTGCTACAGCTCACTCAGCACCTCCCCCTACCTGCTGTCACACCCCAGTGAGCCCCTGGAGCTGCGGGTCTCAGGTGAGGGACCCCTGGACCTGTCTTTCTGTGCTGTCGGCTCAGGGTCCTGTCCCCAGAAGAAAGAGGAGCTAACAGGGAGGAAGAGAGGGCTCTAGGGATGGTCACCCAGAAGACATCTGCCCCTCAGAGACCCTCCTACCCATGGGTACCCCTTCCCCTCACCTCGGTGGTCCATGGGAGGAACTCTAGGGTGCTCCGGGCAGATGGAGGAGGAGTCTGAGTGAGGAGGGGCCCCAGGGTCAGCCCCAGACTCTCACCCTCTTCTGTCCTCTTCCAGGACCCTCTGTTCACCCCAGCCCCCCACCCACAGGGCCCATCTCCACAGCTGGTGAGTCATGGAGCGTGTGTGCTCAGAGGGAGCACAGACCACCCCCGATGCTTCTGATTCCCTCAGAGGGTCTCATGCCCCCGACACTAAGGACAGGCTGTGTCCCAGGCGCTGGGAGCAGGGGATGGATTGAGGGTGAACCCAGGGAGTTCACGACTCTGAGGATTCACCCCACAATGGATAGGCCTGCAGAGGGTTAAGTGAGGCAAGTGACAGTTGGGGTGGTCATGGCCCAGGGAGATGTTGGGGCCTGGGATGGGGGAGGAGCAACTGAGCTCAAGTGGGGTGAAGACAGCCCCCACCACCACCAATCCTGATCCCAGGAGGCTCTGCGGATGGGTCCCTTCCCCACATGGAGTCAGGCCTGCAGCGGGGTAACTGAGGGTCTCTGTGGGGAGGTGGTGGGTGTGTCTATGAGGGACAGGGGATGAGTCATGAGGGGTTCAGGCCCCTCTGCAGACATTGACTTGGATGCGCCCGTCCCCTGTCTGTGCGTCAGGGTCCCCAAGTGTAAAAGGAGAGATTCATGGCCCAGAGCTTAGATTTCCTTTCAGTTCTGGTTCTGACCTCCTGGGGGAGGGGGCCTCACAGGGACACCCAGGACGTGGTGTGGGGACTGTCCCCTCTGTAGCAGTGATGGTGACATGCACAGGGAGGGGCAGGCAGGACCAGGGTCTGGGGCATCCAGGTCCTTTCCCTCAGCCCTGGTGCATGACTGTGTGAGGAGAGAGGGATGAAAGACAGACCCCAGCAGGTGCCTCACATAGTGGGTGCTCACTAAATGACATCATAGGCTCATTCATGACATCATAAGGGAGAGAAGGACTCCCCTGATATTTGTTGTCTGATTCCTTTCCAGAAGTTGTCCGCAAACCCTCCATCTGGGCTGAGCCAGGCCCCATGGTCACCACGGGGAGCCCTGTGACCCTCTGGTGTCAGGCGTCTCTGCAGGCTACTGCCTACGTTCTATATAAAGAGAGGGGCTCTGAGCCCTGGGATATGAAGACCCCACAGAACTTCAGCAACAAGACCGGTTTCCTCATTGAATCCTCCAGCTCACAGCATGCAGGGTCCTACGAGTGTGCGTATTACACCACTGAGCGCAAACTCTCAGAGCGCAGTGACCCCCTGCTCCTGGTGGTGACAGGTAAGGGGAACCCGGTGCCCTCCCCACTGGGGCTCGCCTCACACTGAGGGATTATCAGGTAGGCTCATGGGGACCTCACCCCACAGTCCACACTGGGAACATGTGGGTGATGGTCCCTGTAACACGGATCCCCCTTCTCCCCAGGAGTGGACAGAGCACCATACCTCTCAGCCCAGCCAAGCCCTGTGGTGGCCTCAGGAGGGAGCGTGTCCCTCGTGTGTAGCTCACAGGACACATCGGGAACTTTCCATCTGCTGAAGGAGGGAGGAGCTGACCCGCCCCGACACATGGAACCGCAATCGAGGTCCAATGCTGGGAGCACCTATGCCCAGGCCATCTTCCCTGTGGGCCCCGTGAACTCCTCCCACGGGGGGACCTACAGATGCTATGGTTCCCCCAGATCCTACCCCAACCTGTGGTCACACCCCAGTGACCCTCTGCGTCTCGAGGTCACAGGTGAGGAGCCAGACCCTGTGCAAACCCATCTGTTCTCTGGGCCCAAAATGACTGACCTAAGCACATGCTCAGTGGAGCCCTGGGGTCAGGGGGTCAGTGACACTGGCCTCTGGGGGACAGAACCTCAGACGGGAGGTTAGGGAGGGACAGGACAGGACTCTCCCAGCAGCCCCAGTGGGCAATGGGGTGTGTGCCCCCTGATGCCAAGTCCCCTTCTCCCAGGTGTGCACAGGGAGCCCTCCCTCTCGGCCCAGCCGGGCTCCCTGGTGCTGCCTGGAGACAGCCTGACCCTGCAGTGTGGCTCGGAGGCTGGCTTTGACAGATTCTCTCTGACCAAGGTCCAGGGGCTCACACCCCCCCAGAGCCTTGATGGGCATCACAGCCCCGAATTCAGCTCAGAGTCCTGTGTATAAGAAAGTCGGGGACACTAAGACATGAGTGTTGGAGGAGATTCCACAGAAGAGGGTCCAGCCGCTGAGTGGGCAGAAAGAGACAGGGTCTCCCACCCTGGAACCCCCATTTCTGAAGCTCAGCAGAGATAAAGGGTAGGGAGGGCGGGGTGAGGTGTGTGGAAATGAGCAGGAAGGTGATCAGACCGATCAGAGAAGTCAGACCCCCCCCCCACTCACCTGCTCAGGTCTTCCTCTCAGAATCGGATGTGTACACACCTGACACACATTACAGAGGCTGCCTGGTTTCACCCCTTTGGGTATTAACCCAACTGAAGACCGCTTATCATCCATGTGTGAGCCAATATTTGGATATTTTACTTGGATATTTGCAATTAGGATAGGTCAATACTTTTTTCTACATCTTGGTTTTTGTATCAAAGTGAGGTCACAGATAGACATAATTTCCTACTTTTGATGCTCATTAAACATTGTAATTTGGGGAATTCGCTCTGTTACATAATATTTGAACCAGAGCTGTGGACTTCCTGGGTTATGACCTTTGATAAACAGTACGTTGGGGTTGTCTTTTGAGACAAAAATCACATAATTAGCCATCCATCCATGGAATCTTACTAGACTTTCTAAAGTTTGTCCAAACTAGAGAGAAGAGGATGACCCTTTCCCCTGCTGCGCATCCTACTGAACTAACTACATTAACCACAACCTCCGAGCTCCTCTTCCCTCTGCCCCTTCCCTACACCCACAGACAGGACCTTATTCCTTGTTCAGGTCCAGCCTTGACCATCAGGGTCCTGCCTCCTTATCACCTGTTGATTTCAACTCTCTGTCTGTCTGTCTGTCTCTCTCTCTCCACACCCCCCACACAAACACACACACGCATATACATAATGTATATAGCTACAGAAATATTATTAAGTATATATTATAATGGATAATTTACTATTTACGTAAGAGTAGCTATATGTGTAGCTACACATACAGATATACTTTACTTATTTTATACTATACTATATATAATGCATACATATTATATACATTATATATACATGTATATCTGTACATGTATTTACACATATACAGAGTGTGGCAAAATTAGAATTACAGTTTTTCCAATAGAATGTAATACAATAAGAAATAGAAATACAAGAATAAACTCTGTTTCTTGTACTCACAACTGTCAACCTACTTATACCCAACCCTGTATTGACTACTATAATAATACTACATTTATGTATCTACAATTATGTCATGAAATATTCATCCATATATCCATATTTTTCATCTGGTAAATACATCTACCATTGTAGTTATTTATGATTATATTAAAAAATCAATCAATAAATGAATAAATAGAAGAACCATTTCAAGTGATGATTGAAATGCAAAACCCCAGAGAGGAGAGATCTGGGTGAATGGGGTGAAGGACACCCTGCCCCAGACTTTCACCCCTTTGTGCCACTGACTTTAGGTTCCTTTGATTCTTTTTTTTTATTTTAATTTTTTTTTATTAATTAATTTTTGTTATGGATGTTTCTGCTCCCCCCCCCATTGATTCCACTCCTCCCTCCCTGCCCTTTCCCCAGTTTGTTGTCCATGCCCTTTGATTCTTGGTTGTTCATATCTCATAATCATAGTGCTGCCATGGACAGTTGTACACTTTGTGCACTTCACAATAAGGCTTGTAGGGTTACTGGTGGGGTATGACTGGCATGCCTATCTTTGCACAAATCCCCCCTGTAGAGTAGCCAGATTGTGCACTAGAACTCTCTGCCTTCCTTTTCACCCATTTATTTCCTGTTTTATCACTTTCCCTCAATATAATTGATTTAGATGCAATGGACCCACACAATAATGCACTTTGGGCATAACAATTGGCATTTGGTTTCTACTTCCTCAGAAAATCTGCCAACTATCTTGTTACCCTCACCTTGAGACAACTCTGTAATTTATGTTGCAAATTTTTATTTAGCCCGGCCAGTGTGGCTCAGTGGTTGAGTACCAAACTATGCACCAAGACATCATTGGTTTGATTCCTCATCAGGGCATATGCCCAAGTTGTGGGCCAAATTCCCAGTGGGGGGCATGCAGGAGTTGGTTAATCGATGTTCTCTCTCATCGCTGTTTCTCTCTCTCACTCTCTCCCTTCCTCTCTCTCTAACTCAATAGAGAAAAAAAAGACTTTTTAAATTTATTTAATCCCAGATATAGCTAGATTCTGTCTGTGCTCATGAATCCACAATTATTTCCAGCTCTGACCTCTTGTTTGAGCACAAGCCTCAAATATCCAAATACCCAGCAACCATCTCTACTGTTTGTCCAGCAGGCATTTTAATATCACAGGTACAATTCTTAAATCTCTCCCCAAGAGTTATTTCTCCTTCAATGTTCATATTTTTCTTCCATATCTAGAAATCTTTCTCAATTTTATCCTTTCTTTTGTGCCCACACCAATATCTAGAGACATTTTGTCTGTCATAGGGGGGAGGGGCTACCAATGGTATCTACTGTCCAGAGATGCTGCTAAACATCCTATGCTACATAGGACAGTCTCAGAAAGAAACACTCATCCCATGATATATGTCTACTCTTCTGAGTGGAGAAACACTGTCATAGCTGAAGTAATTCCCCCACATGCTTTTCCTTACTCCCTACTGAATCACTATTTCATTTTCTCCCTAAAACCTGCCACCATCCCACTTGAACTTGTTCTTTGTTCCCAACCCAGAGAAATCCCTGAAGTCAGGGCCCTTATCTGTCTTCTCCTTGGCCCTTTGACAAATGTCTATCTGTCCTCTTATCCGTGTCTCTTTCTCTATGTCTCTATTTTTCTCTTTATGTCTTTATCTCTCTATATAGATAAATAGATAAAATAGACAGACGTATACACTATTAGTACTGATATAGAGTATATATACTCCCTTTTTATCTATGTATACAATATAAACATATACACATGTATACTGGGTAAAGTAAATCAATCAAAGCCTAAATGAAGGTCTTCAAGATGCATAGTTTCTCCCACATGAGTTCATTTATTTATCAAATGAGTCAGCAAACACTTCTTAGGAATCACTGGGGTTATGGGTTCCAAGCACATTCAACATCCAGCAAAGCAACATGCATTAGATCTTACATCTCCAGAATGATCTTCTTGATGTGATGTGTTGCCCTCCAGGCCCTCTGGGGCTCTGTCGTAGACCAGGTGATATAAACATGAATGAAGATGTACTGAAAAAGGAACTTGAGTGATTTTATTAGTGTCTCAATATCAACTCTGGTTTCTGGGACAAGTGGAGCAAGGCGAGAAGTCCCACCCCTTCTTGTCTTCCCTCAACTCACCCCTGACTACAAAGACCCCGGGGAGTGACTTGATTACTTTCCACCACCTTGATTACCTTCCACCCTAATCATACAACTGCCTCTCACTCTACCCTCTTCAGGATCCTCCATCTGAAGACCCCAGGATGTGACTTATGCACGACTGAGCCACTTGACCCTCAAATGAGAGACAAGTGCACCCTCTTCCTCCCCTATAGAGGAACCCCCAGATGAGCCCAGGGTGTACGCTGCTCTGGCCATCCACTAGCTTAAGAAGGACCCAGAACCCTCTCTCCAGGGAGGGAGCTTGCAGAGGCCCTGGAAGGCCCAGGAGCTGCCCCTATGGACACTCAACTACTGACCCTGAGCCCGAGGACATTTTGTGAGCAAGCAGGATATCACGAGACCTTAGAAGTCACCTAATTCTGCAGAAGAAGATAAATGTGAGTTCTAAGTGCTTTTCTAGAAATAGAACAACACTCCTCTACATAACCAAGGATTGAAAGAAAAAAATCACAAATGAAGATAAAATCTGAAATGAGTGTGGCTCAGTGGATTGAGTGTCATCCCATGGGCTGAGAGGACCCGATTCGGTTCCTGGTCAGGGCAAATGCTTGGGTTGCAGGCTCCATCCCCAGTCGAGGGCTTGTGGGAGGCAGCCCATCCATGTTTCTCTCCCACATCTATGTTTCTATCCCTCTCTCCCTAAAAAATCAATAAAAACGTATTTTTTAAAAAAGATAATGTGACTCATACAGCAATCCATATTCTTACTTGAATTGCAATGCACTCAGAGTCAAGATCATTCTGTAACTCCTTCAACTGGCGGCTGTTAAATCCTCTGCTTTGGACAAAATGTATGCATGCCACTGCTGTTGGCATCACATTGTTGAGCCGCAACGACTGTGCACAAAGATTTTCTTGGTGTGTGATGCAGTGGCACCTAATTGAATCACTTGGATCAAGACTGGGACCGTTCAGTTCTTCCTTGACAAATGCAATGAACCCTTTCTGTGAGCCAGCCATGGCTGGAGCTCCATCTGTAGGAAGGCCACTTAACTTTTCAAATGTTAGCTTAAGTTTTCTCATTGATAAAACAAGTCTCTCAAACAAGTCCTCACCTCTTGCAGGGCCAGGCATGGTCCCAGGGACAGCAGTTCCTCTCGCATGTCAAACTCTGCAGTTCTCCCACGAGAGAAAAACAGGAAATCTTCAGAATCCTTCAGTGTTTTTTCAATATCTTGAGCTAAGTCAGTCATCCGATCTGAGACAGTTCTCAGAGACAAACACTCTGAAACAATGTTCCTGTGTCTGGTGCTCATAGGTGTGTTGTTGACTTCAATGACAAAAAACAATCATTTGTCCATTTCTCTTGGAAAGATTGACATTCCTGCATCAACTTTTCTTTGTAGTCACCATTTATAGGGTGCCATTCCATTGAAATTGTAATAACTATGCCATTTGTGTGGCCAGCGATGCGATTATGTTGCTTTGATCGCTGTTCTAATTCTGCACCTCGATTTGGAGCATATCCAATGTTCGTGTCATCGACGCCTGAGGTCTCTTCTGTGTACTGTGATTTCCTTCATCTTCATCCGAGATTCAGTTTACCCCAGGATTGTTGATGGTGGACGTGTGAATAAAGGTTGGATTGGAGTTATTATCTGTGTTGGCAGAGACGTCGACAAGATCCATGTCCATCATCGGAGGTGAGGTCATCAACGTCGCGAGGAATCATCTCGTGGAATC